CCGTTCTTGTCCCCCTTTCTCCCCTCCCCCTTCTCGTTTGCGTGTGGGTGGGTGTGTTCATGAGTGTGTATGTGCCATCATGTGTGTGTGCCTGTGTTTGTGTGTGTGCCCGTCTGCGTGGCTGGGTGGGTGTGCGCGTGGGTGCGTGAGTGGCTGGGTGGGTGTGCGAGTGCATGCGTGAGTGGGTGCATGGGTGTGTGTGCAGGTGTTTGTGAGTGCATGTGTCAGGACGAACTGCTGCTGCCGGGTTCATCTTCAACGCTATGCAGGGACCTAATTTGGGGCGGCGGCAGCTTCTGTTCTTGTTTTTTTCATTTTCATTCCTTTTTTTTTCCATAACATCGATCTTATGGGTCCCTGCAAGACCCATTACTGAGGAGAGTGGGCTAGGCATACCACACGCCGGTGAGGTACCACTCGCCAGATCCTCCATATCTGGCCATTGATCTTCGTGTCACTGGTCAGAAAGGAGAGTCTGGGTAAGTGGGACCTCAGCACTGGACCAAATTTGCAACGGCTGTCAGTGGCCGCCTGGGCCGCAAAAGAAGAAAACGGGGCTTGCCGCGACGCTCACCAAATGCGAGAAAGATGATATCAGCTATATTTTCCAAGGTTGTATCAGAGAATACGTTCTCTCGTTACACATTTGGTGAGGAGTGTGGAGATGCCCAGACCCACACGATAAAATTTGCCGCCACCGTGCAGAGCGAGGGGAAAACCAAAAAAAAGGTGAGATCGACTGACCGTCGTTTCTGCGTGCCAGAGAGAAACAAAGAAAAGAACACCACCCAACTAAGGGCCACCACTGAACTCAGCGAAACTGGCATGACTGACACACTGACACATTTAGTGCAGCTACTGCCAAGCAAGGAGAACACGTTCAATAGTGATACTGAACCTCTGTCGTCCAGATGGCCTCGGAATAAGGAGGAAGCAAAACCAATTACGTGTCGAGATTCTAGGAGGGCAGTATTTGGTTAGAACTTGAGCTCTGCGGCATTCCACCCCATGCAGATGTAGATCGAAAGGCCAAGAGACAGAGTTAACCAAGAAACAAGAAATCGGTGCGCAATGTACCCCCGCTGCCCACCTAGAGTATTGTTTTGAGATGTGACAAGGCCATACATGTACCAGCGAAAAGAGTGTACTTTGTGGGCATGGCCATGCCCACTGGACGACACCACACGGCTGTCGTTGAGTTGTTGGCTGGGGAGCACAAAGGTAGAGGTATCAAGAACAGGTCATGGTGCACACGGAACTCTGTGGTGGTGATAATGGAGAGAGGTAGTGCCTGCATCTGTGAACCTCTCCAGTATAGAGCAGATGATGAGTGATAACAGGAACAGTTACCTAAACAAACTGGAGAAGCTAGAGCTGTCGCTTCCTCCCGAGGGGCACTCTTCTGCTTCTCGCTTTGAATCCCGATAGATGGGGAAAGGTGCTAACTTCACCTCTTCATCACACTTTCCTGCTCTTATGATCACATCCCCCTCTTCCTCTTCATCTGCCAATCCAACGGTTCCCCAGTCCTGCATCTCATCCTCTGTCCTATTCATGATCCAAGCATCAATCTCTTTCACCTGCTGCTCCTCATTCTCTGCCGAACTGGCCTCTCCTGTCTGCTCTCCTTTTGCATCTGGGGACTCACCATCTTTGACTACTTCCTGCTCCCTCAATGCTTCGTCTTCCGCCATAGCAGTTTCCACCGCTGCCATCTCTTCTTCCTCCTCATCCTCTACCCTGTTACCATCCCCTTCTGCCAACTCCATGCCTTTTACTTTACTTCTGGGAGGCTTCACTTCTCTGTGAATGCCAGATTTCTCTGCAGGAGGAATAACCTTCCTCTCCACAGCCAAAGTAGTTTTACCACCAACGTCCCCTCCACGTGCTAACTTGCTCGGCATTGTTCTCGAATGTCCTTTCACTTTCACCTTGACTTCCTTCCCACCAACCATAGACCTGGGTGATCTCCCTCTCCCACCAACCATACGCCCACATTCTTTCAACCTTCTTTCCTCATTCCCAATGACTGCTGACTTCTTCTTCCCCTCAGCATCCCAGCCACTTACGCCTCCCAAGGAAATCCCCCGTGATCCACCATCTTTCGAGACCCTATCTTCATCATACTCTACCTTCACTTTCACATCATTGGTGCCCGAAATGGGGCCTCGTCCCTCTGTCCTCCATTCCAAAACCTTGTCGGAACCAGCTATACGGCTACCATTGCCATCTTCTCGGTCTGTTCCCCCTTCAACCTCAACCCTACCATCAAGACTGAATGCGTCCCTCCCTGGAGGCGAACGGCAGTCCTGTTCTGCGCTCCCCTTGGGACGGCTTCCACTTCTCAAGAGTCGCTGGCGTCCATCTCCCCCATCATCCACAATCTCCGCTTCCATCTTCTCCTCCACCCTCGTTCCCGTTGACACATCTGGCTTTTTATCAATCTTCCCAAAATCCGCGGGCTTTCCCTTCCTTGAGGTGCTCCCCTTCTTACTCATCACGTTACTGTCTTCTACCCTGTAAGGCTCAGCCTTCACTTTGATCTTCTTGGATTCCATCCTTTCCTTCATCATGTCTCCTCCCTTATCCCTTTTAATGCCTTCTGCTGAACTTTTCTTCACATCCCCCTTCTCTTTTTTCCACTTCTCTAGTGACAATGGCACGGGAGACGCTCTTCCCCCTAATCCATGGATTTTCTCTCCACTCTCAATTTTTACGTTCTTACTGATATGTGATGGATCTAACGGCTTCAAGCTCCCATATTTTCCAGCGGATGCTCCCTCCACCAACTTCACATGTCTCCCTCTGCCCTCAGTTTTGGAGTCGACATCTTTTCCTGTCTTAAACTCCCAACTCAACGCCTCTCTGCTTTTCCGAAAATCCTCCTCTTTAACTGTACACTCTCCAAAATCCCCTGATTCCAAATGTGTTTTCCTGCCCCCTTTGACAAGGCGGGGAGATTTGCTCGGCCGGTCTTCGCTGGACTTCCAATCCCCGTAGCGTGGCTCTTCATCCTTCCCCCTCTTTCCTTTTACCCCCTGCGTTTTCTTTGGCTCAAAGGGCCCCAACTTGAAAGAACCTTGTCGCTTTATGACCGCTGTATCCTTTGCTTTCCCCGCCTCCTTCCCTGCTACCTCCCATTCCATTTCGCATAACTCGCCCCTCATTGTGGGGCTTTTCCGTTCCGTCCTCTGCCTGCTTCGTACACCTTGCCCCAAATCTTGTACTTCAGGACTGTCTGTTATTTCAGCTGCTCGCCCTGTAACCTGTCTTGAAAGCCCTTTCATTGTGTCCCTGTCACTGCCCCCACCACCTCCCCCCTCCTGCCCCTGCCAAGCGTTCTCTCTGACCTTTCCATCTGTCGTCTCCTTGCCCTTCCCTCCATAACTGCGTTCTGGACTGACAATGCGTCTAGGACTCCTGATTCCGAGCCCATGCGTCTCCTGCTTCGTCATTGCTTGCTCGTCAGCTGCCCCTCTATCACCCCTCCTTTCAGTGCCTCCTGTGCCTGAATCGGGTGAAGTAGCCATTGCTCCTCTTGAAGGAGTCAAACCATCCTTTCCACATTGTGAGGGTGGTGCGCTGCCGTAACTTTCCCCTGCAAACCATTGGCAATGCCACACACCGATTATGTCACGAAATGAACATGGTACACTGTTATGTCACGAAATGAACATAGTACACTGCCACAAGCAGCGTACATGCCGTAGAGGAAAAAAAGACAATCAAATGTCAAGTTTCCCCATTAATGAAATGAATGAAACAAATAAAACTACAAAAAGGAAATAGAAAGACCCACTCATCCTTCAAATGAAGCAAAGAAAAACTTGTCCGCCTTTCCCTTGAACTGCCAAAGCATCATCGTAGCCCCATGGATGACCCAAATCACCCTCAGAGTCACTTTCACACAGTGAATTGAACAATTACAGAGGCACACACAACAGTTACGACCAAGAACTTGGAATCCCTATAGCGGAGAACCGCAACAGCAAAAAACCGTCCATTAGCATCCGGGGGCCTCTCCTACCAGCCAGTCAAATAGTAAGTTAGTCACTACTTGCAAGCACCTCCAATAAACAGAATTGGATACAAGGAGCATTGAGGCAATGTTTGCAGCAATAAGGATCAAATTTGGAAAAGAAATTCCTTCGCCATTCAAACGTCATCCAGATTGTGAACATTGATGCCAGCCGTTCTCACATATAATACACATGTATACATGCTTCCGCAGGTCCCCAGGCGTGCCTCATGATTGCAGGGAAGAGACGCACGGTTAACGGAGGCGGCCTGAAATTTTCATAGATTTTCAATGCCGTTCATAAGAAAATCCGAAAGGCCTTTTGAACCAAACTTGCCACTGATTCACAAAAGGAATGTGTAAGCACACCGAACGAACTCAAACCTGGCCTCCATATCTGGTTCAAGGAGCCATCCAATGAGAACAGAAAACTTTTGAGATCCATCAAAAGCTCACGGAAGACCGTTCACGAATAAACCGAGTTCAAAGAAGAATTACAAAAGTTGAGAGCACACCAAATCGAGAACACACACTGAACACTGAAGTCCTTTGAGAATCGGCCAACTTTTCCCATGCGGCCTTCTTGAGGGTCGCCAAGGCCTGCAGCCTCACACTGGAAGAAACATTCTCCAAACAGCTATATATCATGCCAGGAATGGCTACTTACATAAATGATATTGCAACAGCTTCATATATTATACATTATCACATATCTATCGACTAAAAGAGCACACTTTGCGAAGCAAATGAAGAAAATGGCAGACAACACTGAGACCTCGTTTTTGCCTTCTTCTGTGCAGTTCTTTTCTTTCCTTATTTTGACTTTTTTCTTCTTTCAGCCCCCTTCACTGTGCGTCTCGTGTACAAGGCTCGCCATGTCGATTTAGTCCAGTGTGAGGTGCCCACATCCCTGTGCGCCACAGGCGCTAACCAAGGCCACATTCCTGCAACAAACGTGGGAACTTAACAGACAGAACAGATGGGGGCAAGAAGAAAGGAGCCGCACACTAGAACTTCTTTTTTTCCCTTTTTACTTTTCCGTGTGTTTTCGACGTCTACTCAGGTCCAGGGTTACCCACTGTGGTTGCCATTTCTGATTCCGGTGCGAGGTTCACCCACTTACATGTCATCAAACAGGAGATGCCACACAACAGTCCATTATAAAGAGCAACCTTGCAAGGACTGAGGATCACATGATGATGAGACAAACCTGCCCGTGAGGCGGCGTGAGAGCCTTCGTCAACTTCAAGTGGAAACTTCACCTTTGATCTCAGGCTTGATCTTTGACTTCAGCAACTTTTGACTTCAAAAAAATTCACAAGCGATGGCGTAGCAACACCCATCCTTGGATGCCATCAAGTATGATGGCTTTAATAACACCCATCCTTCGATGGCGTCAAGTACGATGACTTTAATACTTCAACGCACATTCAAACTGGCAGGTCCTCCAACCACTTGTGGAGGCCGGACAAATGTGTTACGCTTTTCAAATATCCCAAAATTGACTAGCGAATCTGGGTTGTGTGTGAGCAGAAAATAATCGAAATGGCCAAAAAGCCCCCAATAACGTTAACTGACCTCGTTGTTGAGAAGCCAAAGTCGTTTGCTCAACCGGCACACTGGGTACGTCAGACTGTTTCCTTTCATCTGAGGTCTGAAAAGATGGTCTTCCTGCAGAATGCCTGGGAGAAGCTCCTGATGGGCAAGCAGCAGGCTGGGACTCCATTTGCCTAGACCTGTTTAGGCCACCAAGGGGTGGTCGGTCACATCGCCAACCAAGTCGACTCCTCTGCACCATGTATGGAAACACAAGAATCAATGATTCATGCCAACAGCAACAGACTAGCATTTCATGTTCCAACCTGAAGAAAACACTCGAGGGCACCCTTACACAAACCCTTCTTTTTTCAAAATTTAGAAACAGAGTATTATATGTGCTGGAAACCGGGTCGAGCGTCCCTTACACCATGACCCACTCAATGTTCCCTTCCACAAACCCTTGTCCATGCAAAACACACAGATCCAATATCTCTGCAACCACTGCTACAGTTGTTGGCAGTGCAAGGCAAAGGTGAGTGATAGAACAGCCAGCAGGACAAGATCAGCTTTCGCACTCGTGATACACCACTTCAGGACCCCACGTTAGAGCGGGTTTGCTCGTGATACACCACTTCAGGACCCCACGTTAGAGCGGGGTTGCTCATTGCCATCGCATGACAAACAACAGTCTCAACGGGTCCATTGTCATTTCCTATTGTTTGCTCAAACACAATTTTCATTGTCATGAAAAGCATGCCGTTTGGGCTTGAAACCGTTACGACTCAATTTGATGGGGAAACCTTGCAAGCCAGCTTATTGCCACTGAGATGTTGCTACTACAATAGCGCTTTGTAGTATAATAACATTATTTTTTTCACAAGCAGGGAAGAAAACAAGAGCCACAACACTAATACTAACCCTCACCAGCCGGTCATTCCAAATGGGGCCAAGACTACAATACATCCACTTACCTTATGCAGCGACTACCACATTGCTGGTAGGTACTTTCATTCCACTAAAGGACTCAGGATATAGCAGGTGTTTCACACAGCCTGAATCAAACACTTCCCATAACCAGAATATACCACTTTGTTTCTGCACATCCAGAACCTGCAGAGTGTGGAGACGATGATTCTTGGCATAGACAAGCAGGCCACGACTGCTGCTTTGTGGTCTGTTTGTCTGCCAAATAGAAAATTCAGTTCTCCCTATCTGTTTTCAACTTTCCATGGTCTTGCGCCGTTGTTGTTCTGCTTTCACCTCTAATACCAAAACTGGACAGTCGTGCCAACCTTGGCAAGGAAACGAAGCAGATGTTAGAAACAACACATCCGCAAAGCCGTGCAAAGAGGAAAACAACACAAAACCCCTGAAAGCATGCCACGGTTATGGCACGGTGTTATACTCAACTTGTGAAAGGAAAACAGCAAGGGTCAATTGACCTCCAAATTGATGCACCTTCTTAGAGGTCAACCCTCGGCTATTGCCTTCTAGGTTATTGCTTGCACTAGTTTTTTTCTTAGTGTGTTCAGACTGGCATGATGCTTCATTCATACCTGCAACTACAGCAAACAACAGAGTATATTTATTCTAAAGATTGAAATCATTGAATGCTGCTATTTTTTTATTTTTATTTTTTTATGCTGCTTTTTGCTTTTTCAAAGGAGACCAAGTCCATCGGAGATCAAAAGGAAGCGGAAGACACAATGGAATATCTTTGTTAGATTGTCAGCAGCACCTAAACAAGGCACATTCTATACACTCGTTCCTCTGCAGCACGTGGAAACTTCACAGGGATGCGTGACCGATCTTTTGTGACTGACAGAACAGGCAAGAGCTACACCACTGCTCAGTTTTCACCACGTTCTAATCCAGCAACACCTGAGCTTCGTAGCAATCCAACTCGTCAAGTGCCTTGTGAGGCGTGACCAACGGAGAAAACATTTTGAACACATATTCATCTCACTTACTTGGTTCTGAAGAAGATCACGTGGTGTAGGTTGAACACCCGGAGGGGGTGGCTCATCCCCTGGCGGTGGCGGTTCTCCATCATCTTGCTGCAGGTTCCCTGCTGCTGCAGCTGCTGAAGCATGAGGCAAGGGAGGTGCAGGTGGCATGACCGGTCTCCCCATTGGCAAGGGAGGCTGTTGATGATTACCCGGTGGAAGAACTCCCCGTCCATCTCCACTGTAACAACCACCAGTATCATGCCGTTGCCAACCTCCGTCTGCCCATCCACCACCATCCCATCCATGATCCTGTACCAGACGAGCAAGATTGACCAAACCACATCAGCAAGCATCATATGCTCAGATGGGTGTCATTCCACAATTGTCGATTCTCATGCTTGCACCCCTCCTGTCTCCAGTTCCCAGCTCTTACCAACCGTCCAGAATACCAAAAAAGTCAGAAATTTAAAAAGCGACGTTATCCTAACAACGTGTTCACAGTAGTCAAAAAGCAACACTATACAACAACAGTCCATCCACCGCAGGTGCACTTCGTGATTCATTATGCGTGCCTGCTATAAGTGTACTCTGCGCAATTCATTACCCATGCCAGCTCCAAGTGCACTTGGCTATTCATTGCCTATGCAAACCCAATTGCAAGTGCCCTTTGCTATAACTATTGCCTGTGTCAGCGGCACCATAGGTGCACCCCTATGGTGCCGCTAGTAATAGCGTATCCAAAAGAGCGCAAACTCGCAAAAAATTGATCCCGAGCTCAAACTCGCAAAAATAGATCCACAACGTGTGTCAAAATTGCGTACCTGCACTACCTGATCCTTGATAAGCTGGCTGTGCTTTCTACATTCTTTCCTGTGTGCAGCTGTTTCAGGCTTGGAGTTGGATTTTAATTTCTAGCCTCGACAAAACGAGGACAGCAGAAAGATTCCAAACCAGGCTGATTGATCCATCGTTTTTAGCACTGTTTCGTATTGCTGTGATTGAATTGAAGCTCCGCTAACACAACAAGGAAGATTGACATCACTACACCATGATTTTGCATTAAACCACCAGTACCTCCTAAAAGTGCTCCGCGTTAACGGGCGTGGCTTTTGAGATGAACGGGCCTGGGTCGGTAGGCCCTATTCAGCCAAGTGGAAACGGCACGACTTCCACTTTTGGCTGGCCGTTAACGCGGAGCACTTTTAGGAGCTACTGGTGGTTTAAGAAACATGCGCAAGAAAAATTACAAGCGTGCTGGCAAGGTCCTGTAACTTCAAATGGAGGCGATGGGTGCAATGGACATTACAGTTGGCTCACTGGGAACATCAAGAGGAAGCGCGCTACCCACCATGCCTGCAGCTGGAGGGCCGCTGAATCCATTGGCCATGTTGCTTGGTCCATTATATCCTCTGTGGTTGCTGTGGGCAGGAACGGCTGGCACAATTGCCCCAGCGACAGGTGCCGGGGCTGCTGCATGAAAATGATTCATAAAGGTCAGTCGCTATCACGGACAAGAAAAGGAAACCTCATCATAGCAGCAATGTGGATGGATCAATTAATATCCGAACGGCTGCCAAACAACCAGATCGCCCACCCGAGAACATACTAGTCTGTGTAACAGTAATATGGATGAACAATACCAGGACAGCTGCCAGACACCCAGACAAGGTGTAGGTAACCAATCCCTAGTGGCCTAGCCCCCAAAAAAAGTCGAAACAGATGTTCGAAAGGTTCACAATTGTTACATAGCATGTTAGGAGATTACCCAAGGAAAACTTTACTTTAATCACTGCTACGATTCACTTCACCACAAATTGAAACCACTTTCCCAATACACTTAACTGGAGGTAGTTTCCCACAGACTGTGATTAAAAACCAGAGAGCAGACCCAACAATGACTACCACTGTGACACCAAAATGGCACATGTCCAAAAAGAGGGATGGGGGGAGGGGGGGGGAAGGGGGGAAGAGGAAAAGTCCGAAAAGACCTTAAGAAAATTATACTCCTGTACTTCATGACCTTCAACTGTGAATATGGGTTTTAGGAAGGGGAAAAAAAAAAAAAAAAAAAAAAAAAAAAAGTTGTTCAACAAGCCTGTTTATTGTGGTTGCTGCACTGCAGCTGCAGGTTTGGGAGGGGAAAGTACAATAAGCCTGTTTATCACTGTAGCTCCACCTGTGCAAGAGAACAGCAGAACAGATAGAGCCGGGCTGCTGGTTTGACGACCAAGCAGATTTGTGAATGATGTTTGTCATTATTCAATCAGACTGTAACGAATTGCCTTGTCACCAAAGGGCACCAGCAGATCTGAGCAAGAAGCCAGCAGCCAAATGTTCCATCCACGCATGCCGAACCTTTTTTCTCCTCCTTCCCCGTTGCAATCCTCTTCATATGGGCAGTGGTTCGGCAAACTTCATCCGGCATGCCTCGTGTGTTCTTATCCATGCATTGTCATGACAGTCATCCTCCAGATTGTTGCTGAGCACCTCTAGAGGATGACTACCTTCTTCCCCAGAACATAACGCATATGCCTTGTATTCGAGTTTCAAAATTTGAAAATAAAATCGAATAGAACGTGTATGCGTTGTATTCGAAAATTTGGGCTATTCGAATAGAACGCATGGGCGTTGTATTCGAATAGAACGCACCCTATGCGTTGTATTCTTTTACAATGCATATGCGTCATGTTTGGGGGAAGAAGGTAATTGTTTGGCACGAATGCCAGACTGTGACCATCAGCACTTCAGGGCATTTGGGGTTGCCAAGGAGGGCACGCTTGCGATTCAGGGCGCCACCTCCTTGAGCCTTCCTGTTTTCCTTGTACCCTCAAGGATGACAGAACAAATACAATCCCTTCTCATTGCACCCAGCATGAAATTTCAACGACATATAAACATAGGCCCAGGTGGTTGCATGCTTTCACGTTAAAAAATGCACAGGAGGGACTTTACCATTGACATAGGCAGGAGCAGCTGCCCGCTTTGCCAAGATTCCGAGGAGTGAAGGCACCCCACTTCGTATGTCCATTGTAGTTCCAACTTTCAAGAATTCATCAAGTCCATCCAGAGCCGCTTGTTCTTCCATTCGGCTCAGTTGCTCCCGCACTCTCCTGCCGTGTAATCAAGTGGATAGAGGAACATGGAAAAAATAAGCAAGTTCCGTCATTTGACGAGGAGAATGTATTAAATATAACCAGGCAGCGACTGAAACACGAGTCATGAGTGCTAGGCCATTTGCAGATTGTCCGTCCAATACCCTCGAGAGAGGGAAACTCGTACTCTCAAGTTTTTTTTACCCAAAGAACAAAACAACACCGGCAAAAGGCACACAGAGCATATACACAGGGTGTCCACGAGCGGGTGTTGTACCGTGTCTCGGCTGGCGTCCATTTGCCACTGCTGTGTTCATCAACTTGCCCAAGAGGGGAGGTTGAGCTCACATAAGTCGCCTTGGCTCATGTGCCCTCATCCACGACTGAAGGCGAAATTTATTGTTGACACTGAGGGTGTACTCACACTACCACTGGGCTCTGGGGCCAGGAGGCATAGATGGGACTTCGACCACCACTATCTCCGAGCCTCTTTGTTGCCGAGGCGGAGTAGAACTGCATGCCAAGCTTTGCCAAAGCACCAGCGCAACCTTTTTTCTTTACATTTGGCTGTCGCCGCCAGCCACTTTGCTCTGGCGCCCGGCCTCCAAATAATGCGGTATACTGGGTATAGGCTATATTTATGACTTAGCCTTCCACCCTGAAAGGTGATGGTGTTTTAGAGGGGTATAATAACTATGAATAGGGGCACCTTAAAAAAAAAATCATTTTGACATTTTAGCAATTTAGTTTTATTTTTCTTGAGTTTGGCTGCTGAACTTTAACTTTGGCTTTGGCAACCATTTTTTTATTTTGACGATTTCGTTTCCTTGGGCTGGCCAACATTTTCTTTCAGGCTAATTTTTTCCAGACTTTTTTAGCTTCATGAATTTTCTTATTTGCACTGGGCCTGTCCTGCTCCTCGCCGGGAGCTTGCCCAGCCGGGGTGCCCACCCAGCTCCCAAAGTCTGGGTCGCATTGCTCAAAAATTGAAAGGGGCGTCCACAGGGCAGGTCCATGCATGTGGTTAACCTCGGGTGTTATTTCGCCAAATTTTGCACCGACACTGTCATTTTGGCTATAGATTCTTTGCTTTTCTTCTTGTTTTTCTTTCCGTGTGATGAGTAGCTGCTTTTAGAGTACGTCGTGTATTCAGTTTTGACATATTTGGACTAACAGAGAAAAAAGTTCAAAAAACATGTCGTTGAAATCGTTGAACGCTTTCGCATTAGGGTTCAATAGTGCTCTTGTTTTTTTTTCTTCGTTTTTTTTTCGCCTGTTTCAATAGTGTTCGTACTGTGGGCACATATCGTTCGTTTCTCAAAGTCTTTTTCACTTGTGGTGACGCTGCAAAAACGGCGAATTTTTTACCCTCGGTTAATCACCTTCAGGATCACCCAACTTTAAATACCATCTCACCCACCTTCTTCACCTGAATACACGTATGGTCATTATTACTACGTATTTGGACTGAAAGATAACCCAACACCTATAATGACTGTACTCTGCATTTTGGGTGAAGACGATAGGTAGTAGCCATTTTTGCCAGGAGTTCATGTGTAGAAGGATGGCACATGATCTCTGTAATAGCAAAAGCACTCAAAGAGTCAAACATATTCATATCCAAATGGGCACTCGTCATTACATGAATAAAATCTAAACCATTTCTTGTCATTAGCTTATTATCAGTATAAGTAGCAAAGAAACTGCGAGGAAGTTGAACATTACATGGGATCGCCCTGGACTTGAGATCCTTTGCCAGCTAGGCATCCACAATTGCTACACTTGCACGCATTTGCGCAGTACAAAATACTTACTGAAACAGGTCACAATTCATTCACAATGCTCAAACATCATGTCTGCATTACCATTATAAATACGATACGCTGCTTGTTGAAGGAATAAATGAGACACACCGTCAGGTGTTGTTACCAATACAACTCTTACAGCAACGATCGACTGCAAAGCAATTGTGACTAGAATCCCGGAACACAGCAACCACCCAAAGGCAAGCAAAGAGAAATGTGTGGAGCACAACACAAACAAAGTCAAATGCCCATTTGTGGCCAGCTTACCGATCTTCCACAATCTCTCTACGGCACCGCCTCCCATGCACCATCTCGTCGACTCTTCCAGCGACGACAGGCCGCAGCCTTGGCCATCTTGTGCCATGGCCCATCCTGGGCGGTCCGCCCCATCCACCATTCATACGACCCCTTCCTTTTTCGTTGTACCAATCACCACCACGATGCCCACTGTATGAGCTCTCAGCTGCTGTCGTCTTCGTCATTTCACCAAATACCGGAACGGGAATAGGGGCAGGCAGGTGCCCACATGAATAGTCTGGTGCATGACTCGTAGGAACCACTGGAGGCCCAATGATACCTCCTGGGGGTATTGGGAACCCACTTTCTCCCCCCAAATGTGGGGTTGCAGTGCTACCTTGACCAACAGGAAAACGAGGATGCACAGGAGGCGGAGGTGGGGGTGGAGGTGGAGGTGGTGGTGGGTTCACAGCAGGGTGACTATGGCCATTAGGAGTGATTGGCACAGCACTTCCAACAGGGCCAATCCCTGTAGATGTTGGTGGGATGGGCCCATGAACCCCTCCAACAAGAGCCCCATGTGCAGGACCAGCTATTTGTCCCATGAATGGGCCAGGAGCACTGGGATGTGGTCCAGGTATACCAACATGACCTTGTACTTGGCTATCATGTGCAGCTGGAACATGGCTACGATAGGGTACCTGAGGAGGAGGGGCATCCGGAATGTGTGGTTTATGCAGTGCAGCTCCACGAGCCCCAACTGGTTGCTCGGGGCCAGCATTGTCCTTGGGAGAACACCTGTTCCTTGGCGGTGAAAGGTCTGCATGGTTCAAACCAGTTTCCTGTGTCCCTCCTTGATTTTGTTCATGTTTGTCGTCATGCGCAAGCATAGGGGTTCCTAATCCACCTCCATGACCAGTATGGCCAAACCCACTGAAGGAGCCCCCAATGCCACGCCCTCCTCCCCTCATGGCAACTGCCGCTCCAGAAGCTTCACCACTGGTAGGCACATGTCCAGTAATTGTCCCAGGCCCTGGCCCTGGTCCTGGCCCTGACGCTGGCCCTGATCCAAGTCCCGACCCCATTCCAGGCCCTGGCCCTGGTCCGGAGCCTGGCCCTGGTCCAGGACCAGGTCCGTTAACAGGCCCCCCTGGGCATTCCCTGCACATATCTCGTCCATTATTATAGTATCTAAGAGGACGCATTGCATCAGGTGGAAGCAATCCCGTGAGTCGATAATTATCCTCCTGTCCATAACCAACAACATACACAGGACCACAGTGCAGCAGTCATGTTAGCATTTTTAGTTTTCATCTCTCTCTCTCTCTCTCTCTCTCTCTCTCTCTCTCTCTCTCTCTCTCTCTCTCTCTCTCTCTCTCTCTCTC